ATGACATGAGGTACACGTGTTTCTTTTTTCGTTTTTCTGAAAAATCGTAAGCATTCATATCTAACATAAGCATACTTGCATATTATACCAGACAAACGTAAATATTTTTTAATAAATAGTATAATTCAACAAAATGTTTCTAATGCATACATTTTTTTTTTTATAAAGATATAATACTTGATTCTCTATACACCCCACCACCACTACCCCCCCCCCCCCCCCCCCAATATAAAATGATATTCCAATACTTTAACTTATGTTGGACTCGGCTTCAATATTACCTGGATTCTCCATAAATAAATCTGAATCATTCCTTTGTTAATAATTGTTGGAAAGGGGTGGGTTACAACATTTCATCATCGGAATCAGGAGTGACAGAGCTATTTTTGTTGTTCGGGAACATGAGACATTATTTTTATGGTTCGACAGAATAATTCCTCAAAGATAAAATACATGGGGAAAAAAAACCTATGCATGTAATATTTCATTTTCTTATTAATTTGTCATTTTTGTTCTTTTGGTTTTTTTTTTCATTTCTCACTGGATATTTTAACTTACGCTTTCATTTAAACAATAAAATGCTTTCCTTGTTTGTTAGTGGGGGATTTCATGGTTGCAATTACAATATGTACTTCATGGTATTGCAAGAAACAAAATGAATAACCTCAGCCTATATGTATATGAAGTAAGCTGTTCAAATACGGTAAATATTGTACATGTAATTTGTATACGTCATGGTATATGCTTCACTGATGGCTGAGCATGAACACACTAGGAAATCATTCATAGACAGGTGGGCTTGAAAGAAACAATTCGAACTAAAAGTAATGGCAGCCGATGTGGTGCTTTGAATCAATTTTAATTTGTATCATATTTCATCATTGTTTTTAAACTGCATGCAAGCCACGGAACGAAGTCCACGTCCCAGAAAGCAAGAAGATCCGACGTACATTTTGGCCGTGGGTATCAACGATGAGCTGTGATGTCATAGATTTTGCACGTACCTGTGTTAAAACTATATTTAATTAAGTAGTTTCTGTATTGTCTGTGGTAATCTTTATCTCAGATCCATGTTGGCGCACTGGTTATATGATGTTCAACAAAAAAAAAAAAAAAAAAAAAGGAGGGCTCACCACATAGTTTGATACAATATTTGATATTTGACTAATCAAAACATAGAATAATATGCTTTTTATATGATTAACACGATTGTGATTCTGAAATACTGAAATAAATAAATATAATGAAGTTTATCAGAATAAAACTTGGGGCAATACAGCCCATCAGTTTACAATACATGTAATAACATATAATTACAACTCACACTTCCATTGGGATAGGAGAAAAGAGAGACAGCTAGATGAAAGAAGACACACATACGGGTATACACTGTAGATGATAAATTCGTGTATGTGCAGCATAAAATGCTTTTGGTATTTTTTGTAGCGTATTGAGAAACTTTTAATATAGATGAATGATAATGTCATTATAGTTCATCAAAGGGTTTTAATTTTACTATTAATTGTGTATGAACACCCATTTTTGCAGTTAAATCGAACCCTCCAATTATACCATGAATAAAGTGAGACCCCATTCCCCTTATATAGAATTTGAGTTGCTTACTCTCTTGTTAATTCTGGGGGGGGGTGTCCAGTCACTTCATACACAAACCGAGTCGTACACAAACCAACTCGTATACAAAAAGTCAACTCGTACACAAAAACCAGAAGTCAACTCGTACACAACAGTCATTTATATACAATCGTTATGATTTAATTTTATACAAATAATGTTTGATAACACGAAGTGTTACTTTTCTTTAAGTTTTTTAAGTTTTTAAATAATTCAACTTCCCTGATAGGATAGGAACATCAAAGACATCAAAGAAGTATTGTTAAACCAACACCCATGCGGTAGTTTCTTGGATCTGCGACAAACGCTAATTACGAGATGCTCATAATTCGGTATCCTTTAATTATGAGATACTATATGTATCGAAAACGTCTCCAAGTTTCTTCATTCCTTATACTTCACCATGATTCGAGAGAGTTGTCTTTCCTGCAGCAAGACGGTAAGTTTTTAAAACTTTTTTCATTTAAATAAGTTTAGATAAGTGCAAGAAAAATGTGTTATACAGTATACCATTAAATTCTTACCATGTATTTAGATCGAATTTACTATCTACACTATATATCTATTTAACATAATAAATTAGGATGCTATAAAATATTATATTCTACATCAACATGCATTACTTGCATAACAGAAAACTTTTTAGAAATATAAAAACTACGTATATCAATTCTGTTGACAATTAGAAATCCATTTGTCTGAATTAAGTTTTTTTGGAAACTATGGCAAATATTACCTTAAATCACATAGGAAAACGTATGTATGAGTTGTGTACGAGTTGACTTCTGGTTTGTATACGAGTTGACTTTTTTTTGTGTACGAGTTGACTTTTTGTATACGAGTTGGTTTGTGTACTACTCGGTTTGTGTACGAAGTGACTGTAAATCGGGGGGGGGGGGGGGGGGGGGGGTGTCTCAGCACCTCCCCATTTAATTTGTCTGACTTTTAAAAAATAGTTCGAAAATGTTAAAATATTTCAACTGTGTTCCATTTGATGATTATAAATTTCCGTGTTAATTAGGGTGTGTGTATGGAAGGGGGGGGGGGGGTATTGACCTTACCCACGTAATAATTCTGGTCACTGTTTTTAAAGGAAGTCATTTATACCTCGCCTATTTTTTCGTTGATTTATTTTACACATAAATGTATTACTAGGGGCTTTCTTATGTACGAACAAGTTTTTATTTTCATTAATTTTAAATGGTATTAATCCTTAAAAATCCTTTATCCTTGTAACAATAATACATGTAATAAAAAAAAAAAACAGAAAAAGTGAAAAGTACATGCATTTTATTTGAGCGTGACGTCACAGAAGCTTGAGAACTTGAGACTTGCACACTAAATATGCACTTCTTAGCTGAGGTGAAACAAGCGGGCGGATCCTGGATCTTCCAATTTTTAAAGCTTGTTTTCTGTACTAAAAACTTTTCACTTCCGTTTCCTTTTGTGAAATTTGATTTCTTAGGTTAAAGGGAACTTTTAGCAAGAAGAATAAACTACGTGTTTTATATTACGACGACATAATACCTTATATTACTTACAATGCTATTTGCCATTTTGTTTAGAAAGTTCGGGAAAACAGAGTACCTGTGACGTCGTATTTTGAAACGTGACGTCGAACTGCTGCACTATGTAGGAACCTGTGAGGTGTTAACATGGTCGCGTTTTTCTAGGTATTCGCTGGATTTAAACAATGTTTAAGCTGTAAAAATATTAGTAAGTGTTTGCAGTGGTCCTTCTGAATATGTATTGGTATGTATTTTCGTTCTTCGTGAGTTATTTCTTTATGAAATCGGTAGGAGGCAAATTTGCTAAGTAAGGCCTCGAATCGGACGCATGCGCAGTGTGCGTAGTCCGTGCCCGGCACGACTACGGAACGTACTGCAGAACAATTTCAACAAACACATAAAAGTAGATACATATCCCAGTACAAAATAAAGAACAAAGAAGAATAAAGTTAAGAACATATATAACACGTACATAAATTAAACACATTTATATACAAGAAAAGACACACTTCAGCATGATTTATTCATCTCCATTATTTAGAAAAGGGTTCTACGGCAAATTTCAACTGCAAATCTGCTTCTACAATCTACAGATGTGTTCTACATCAATAAACAACATTTTGTTAAATTCCGAAACATATAATTATTCCGAGATAAAATAATACCCTGTTCTGTGCAGTTTTCTCTGCAACTACTACAGTCCCTGAAACGTTCTACTTTCCCACTTGAACGGTGAGCGAACGCTGAACGAACGGTGAACGAACGCAGAGCGAACGGTGAGTGAACGATGTGTGAACGCTGAACGCAACTTGGTGAACGATGTGTGAACGGTGAACGGTGAGCGAACGCAGAACGCGAACGGAGCGCAAACGCGAACGCAAAGTGAACGGTGAACGAACGGTGAATGCAAGATGAACGATATATTCGGAATGTCTCTGATCTTTTCCTTGCATTGAAACTATATTATTGTATTATAATGTTAGGTGCCAAAAAAAAAAATTAATAAATAATAAATAATTAACCAATAAATGAATGAATAAATAAGTCAATAAAATGAATTCTCCAAAATTGTCCTAAGAAAGACGATGCATGCACATTAAGTTTTAATCACACGACTTTTATCGCATGAAAACATTGCAATTGTTGCCAAACGCTGAAGTATAAACAAATCAGAGAAAACTTCTGACTTATAGAATGAATTAAAGCGGTTGTAACATCCATTCACATATCACCGTGTCAGGACGATTTCGTGTAAAGTTACACCCTTGCAGAAATCATTCCTGACTTGGAAATGCTTCTCAGGAATTCCTAAGATGTCCTAAGAATTCCTAAGATTTCCTCACAATCTGATTTGAGGAAATCCTAAGAGTAACAATCCTGGGATTTGAATTCAGGACTTCCTGGGATCTTCCAGGACTTCTTAAACATTTCAAATCCAAATCTTGCCAGGACATTTCATTGTAAAGCCAGGAGTTAATCATTTTTATGATAATCCCATTTCCTAAGACTTTTGACTTAATGTTGGGACATTTGTACACAAGACAAATTAAACTTTACAAACTAGTACATGTTAGTAAATGTTATAACAGAATGACAGGAATTTATATTACTTTTAAAGTTTTAATGAATAATAAATTATCCAGAAAATCATAAAATGAATAATTTTCAATTATTACATATTATACTTGATACATAGAAAGACACTGACCCTAGAACAATTTTTTTTTAATCAAATATTTTCTGAAATACTGATGCTGTCAGGGAGGAGTTATAATACGTCTTAAAGAAAAAAAATGTTTACAGACAAACAATATTTTACCATTTTCAAATCACACAAGTTCTAACATTTCTGAGTTGATCTTTATCCATTAGAATTAAATTCTACACTTTATCTTTAGAATGCTTTGTTCATGGGAAACTGAGTGCAAGCATAGTTTTTTTTTCAAAAGCACTGGTCATACAAACTTGGCCATCTTGCAATACAACATCAAGTATTAATACAACTTTTCTTTCCATGTAGAAGTAATATTTTCCAGAATGTTTCACCGAAGATAAAGTGTTCCTCTTAACTTTAAGTTGGTTTTCAAGTGGCTTTAAATTCAGAAGACCATACAGAAGGATGGAGTGGTAAATTTTCTTCATCTGTCAATTTAAGTTTTCACTTCGCATTTCATTTCAACTAAACATATTTTGCTCAAAGCACGGCATAAGAAATGGCTCTCCTATACTGTCATCACCTGCATACAGGGTTTATATCTCTCAGTTGATTCAATATGCAAAAACATGCTCTACGTATGAACAATTTCTAAAGCGAGGAATAGCTAGTTTCAAATGTTGAATGGATGTCAGAAAAACATATCACTGATTTGAGGTGGTTACCAAACTATCGGCTTCAAAGTCACATGCTGGCTAGAAGTATAATTTTTTGTATCTTCTTCTTTATCAGTGTCATTTGGTTCATCAAACTGTCTTTGACTTTACTATCTTTATCATTTTCATCCGAATCTGTATGATTTCGCTGTATATTCACCCATAACTGCCAGAGCTACTGTACAAAAGAAAAGTAAATGTTGAGTCATTGAAACAAGAGTACACTATACAAAATGTAAATACTACATAAATGCATACTCAAGAAGCATGACTTGGTCTGTGACATCATACTTTCGTCACTTTTTGACTTAAAAACAGCTTTCAGATTTTGTCGGGTAGGAATCCTGTTGTATGGATCGACAGTTTGAGAATATAATTCCTCATGTTGTTTTTAATATTGAGTATTGCTTTTATTTAAAAAGAAGAATCTAAAATACGCAATAAAACTAATAAAAAGAGTTTCCTGAAAATTTAATCGACATAAACAGAGATCAAAATAACTTTTCCAAGGTTTTGACCAAATTCGAGTCGTGGAATAACTATTAAAAACGATAAAACTGCGCTTGTCCTATCGGTTTTATCGTCAGACATATTGATGTTCATTCATCACTTAGCAATACAATACTTACAAATATCGTGACAGGCTTGTAGATGCGAAGAAAAGTCGTTGTTTACAGCACAATCATGACTATGTGACAACTCCACGATCCGCCATATTTGTGTTTGGACGGTTTCCATACAAATTGTTCTTGGCATAAATGTATTATCATGGTCCTTCGAAAATATTTTGTTCTGTAACACTTTCTATTAGTAAAATTGGTTGATCACGGATATTTCTATTTTATTTTACTAATATGCAGTTCGTTTTGTCACTGATAATAACTTACGTGTTTCTTTTAACAAGGCTCTCGGGCTATTTCTTAATGGTGTACAAAATACCCCTACACCGTGTCTGCAAGCATTCTCTCGCGCGAACTCCGAGAAGTGGTGCAAAAAAGTGATCTTCGATCAATTAGCACCCGGTGTATGAATTATACTTCACCTGTCAACTCAGCTTTGAATATTAGTTTGTCATAAAATGTTCGCTAAAATATATTTTCTTTTTGTAGAAAAAAAAACGTAAGTTCGTATTCATCACAAATTATCATTTTCAAGAATACACAAACCGCATTTGCTTGGTATGGTACGAAATCACTTTACACCGTTCTGTATCATCCTCTCGCGAGACTTCATCGAGAAGCGTAAAATAGAAGTTCAAGGAGCGGCAATGTTTAGAGGCTGGTGAAAATGTAATGCAATGCACAACTTATGCCCAACATTGACGCTAATTCTTCACTTAAAGCATGTTCTCTTTCCCAAAACGCTTGGTTTAGCTAGAAGTGCAGTAAAGGGAATGTTGGAAGAAGTGTAGATATGGCCAGTGGGGTAAGTGGCGAGTGGTTCTTCGTAATATGTATTAAAACACACAAATATTGTTTTATAATTTAGTGCATGTGATATGTTGTATAATATTTCAATATTTAAACAGAAGAAACGAATTGAATATGTGTAAAAGGTTTTTGGGCATACTGTGATACAGTCTAGTCCATGAAGATCAAACATACATACACTGAAATATTTCCAGGTTTTGCATGTTAAAATTTAGTAAGCAGAAGACTGTAAACAAATATTAATTATCAGTTACTGTTAAATTTGCATTGATGTTTTGACATGGTGTACATTTTGGAATTATACTCTTAAATAAAGCCTTCATTGCATTGTTATCTTCTAGTAAGAACCTTGAAGCCTGGCAAGGATCATGAGACTGGAAACTCCCCATGAGACTACTAAATGAAGAGAAAGTTTCAGGTATTTTGTTATTTTTTGAAATTTTCATTTGTAAACTTGAAAGTTTATGGTTCATTTCAATCTCTGTAACTAATATTAATATGAGTTCTATGACATCTGCCTCAGTTTTCCCAACTTTAATATTCGCAAAATTTAGCGCTGAAAAACGCTAGAAAAAAATTAGCAAGAAATATCAATGACAATCGTCATTAAAATTTATTTCAGATTACAAAAGTACAGATATATACATGTCTTTCATTGGTAACTTTGCAGACTGTTTAACTCAGACTAAGGGAAAAAGAAGCAAATTACAACAAGGAGAATATTGCCAAGAAAGGTAAGCTGTTCAAATAATGTACGAGTTTAATGCCCTGTTCACATGGAGAGTTTAATTCGCAGTATATTAATGCGAAGTAAATTGCCTTCATACGACAGCTAAAGCGAAGTAAACTAATGCGAATTAAAATTTTATTTCTACGAAAAGGCTATTCATTAAGGTTATTATGACATCATTTGTAAATCATGTCATGTATGCAAGTGATTAACATACTTTATTTCTTGATTTTTGAGCTAAATATAGCACAAATACGTATATCTAACCACCAACATGTGTCCTGTGACTTAATTCTGGCCTTACGCATGCGTAAAAACTTAATTTGAAAAAGCTTTGCTTAGAGTTCACACAGAGCTAATGCGAATTTAATGCGCAGTAAATAAATTTGAATTAAACTAATTTGCATTAAATTCTCCGTGTGAACGTGATTAAAATTTACTTTGCAGTAACTTAAGTTTAATTCGAATCAAACTCTCCGTGTGAACAGGGCATAAGAATTTCTGTCTCTTTGGTATTAAGTTGTCCGTAATAAACATGGATTCCTAAGCATTTAAATCATTTTTTGTTATCAGTCATTGACAGTCCCTCAAGAATAAATTAATGTAAAAATACAAATGTACATGTATGTCTTCACGATCTTTCAAACAAGACCCAATTCATAAACAAATTACAAAAATTAAATTTCAAAAGGTACATTTGATTTTCAACACTTGCTTGACATAACTTGATGATCCTGTTGTCAATTTTACAATTTTCTTGAAAGGCAGAAATATTGCATCATGTCATGAGGTAGTGAAGGCCAGCATCTTGCTGATGTTTGTTTAAAAGCATGTGCAAGTGTGAATAAAATAAATCTTTTGAGAAAAATGGTCTATCTTACTTGGGCTAACACATATATTTATGGACTGGTAGAATCTGAAAGCTTGGTACATGTAGCATCTTTGGCTACTAAATTTTACAAGTTTAATTTTCATCCCTTAGAAATAATTACATATTTAGACTAAACAATGGAATACATTAAGTAAAATTTTATTTTATAGTCGAGTGAAGAAAAAGCAAACAGGGCTTCATGAACAGCAACTAAGGCCACTGGAGATGAGGAAGAAAAATGTACAGCTAAAGAAGATACACCAGTGATCAACTAAAGCTGGGTGACTTTAATTGGATTGATGAGGTGCAGGGGGGGGGGGGAATATTAATTTGGGTCTGTTTATCTTTCTGTTCATCAATCTGTCTGTCTGTAACACTTCGTTCTCTTAACATTTCTAGAAAGCCTTCAGATATTGCTATGAAATTTTATATTATAACTCATTTTGACAAGAAATATCCCACTGCGGGACATGATTGATCATCAATACAAATTTAATATTGTTTATAAATTAAATATTACCCCAATATATTTTGAAGTGAAATGGTCAGAGGTCAAGGCCTCTTTCGGGGGCACATATTGTTTTTTCCCTATCTGTCTGTTTGTCTGTCTGTTGTCAATTTACCTTTTGCCATAACTTTTGAATCATGAGAGATATAGAGACTTCATATTTGGTATGCTTACTCCACTTTCAAATGAGACCAAGGCCATTGACCTTGTGACCTTGACTGTCATCGTTATGCTGAAAATAGCTTTTTCAAAACTTTGCCAAAACTTTTGAACCATAGGAGATAGAGACTTGATATTTGGTTCGCTTACTCCACTAATTAAGTTCTTTCAAATGGCACCAAGGTCAATGACTGTATGACCTTGACTTTGACCTATATGCTAAAAATATAGCCTTTTTGAATCTTTCTCTTAACTTTTGAACCATAAGAGGTAGAGATTTTATATTTGGTATCCATACTCCACTAAATAAGTTCTTTCAAATTACACCAACTTTGTTGCCACCGGGTGCATAGTGATTCACAAACACATCTTGTTTTTTTTGTTTTTTTTTTTTGTTATGAATTGTTTCTGTTTGGTATCTGAAACTTTTATAGTACAGACTTCTTCAGAAGTGAAGAACCCTCACCCCCTACCCCCTCCCCTAGGTTGTTGATTTAAATATTTTTTTATTATTATTAATATTTGTCATTGTATATCATAAATATTCTATGAGAGCTGCTTCAGAATGTATTAACATAGTTTGAAAGTAAGAAAATCTGTTTTCCCCCTTGTGTGTAAATCGTGATGTTGAATCATAACTGCACTATAATGTTACAGCAGTAAAATTGTAAAGTATTTGTTGTATCAGATACCATCAGCATTTTAAAAAAAATATTTTATGTATTATTTTTTCTGTGTGGCCGTGAATTTTTATAATGCATACATTCATTAAATTTTTTTTCAGAGATCTTATAATTCTGCTTTGTTTTTATGTATGATTTAAAAAAAAAAAAGATGTCCTAGGAGGCTATGATATCCTAGGAAATCCTAGGAATTCCTGGTTTCCTAGGACATTTTAAGTGTTGGGATATCCTGGGAAGTCTTGGTGTTTTGATTCCTGGGATTTTTCTAGAACCCCTTTATTGGGACTGTCCAAGGAAATCCCAGGAATTCCTGTTCCAAAAACATCTCAGGATGTCTTAGGAATAATCCTGAGATTTTTTCAAGATATCCAAGGAATAAATCTTAAGATTATCTTAGGATTTCTTAGGACATCTCAGGAATATTCTGCAAGGGAAATGAAAAAAATAATTACAAAGGTCAGTGGACGTTTTGCATTTATACGCTCGTATTTTAATTTTTTGATACAATAATATATTATGTGTCATTTCTATTTTTCATGATGATTTATTCAGCAGACTTCTACATGTATATGTAGATGGCCGTGGTTATACTCGGACAAGATAATACAAAGATACATATTCATATTATTTGTTATAAATTCAATTTTCGGAACTTGATACTAAAGTAATATGCTGTTATAGTTTTTATTAAACAGACAAATGAGAGAGAGAGAGAGAGAGAAATATTCCGTTTTAGCCCCCCCCCTTCTTTCAGGTTTCACTAAATGTTTGTACCTATATCAAACAAAAACTCCTAAATATATCAAACAGTGAAAGTAACTTATCAACAAATCATATTCATTTGTTTGACAGTCATACTGGTTTTTATTTTCCTGCTTCAAGTTCACACGAAGTCCACGTGCTTGTCCTGTCAATCAAAATCATTCGACACTGTGCAGGTGTGAAAGTTTCGTCACATCGAAGACGAAGTGCGAGTATTTCCAACAAGTTATAACATTTATTTTTATCATTGCTAGATTGGATCCCAACATTTGAATAATAAGTGAATAAAATACATTGGGCATTAACACTTGAATTTGAAACATACTTTCTGCCAATTTCAAATACCACCGCCGACACGTGTACATTGTTTTGTGACTTTTTTAGATGCATGTTTGTTTTGAGACTGAAAGTTTTGTTCTAAAAAAGACCTTAACTTTTTTTTTAAATGTTAATTAAAATATTCTGGAAATACAGTACTGACTAAGTAATCAATCTGCGGGGAAAAGGGGGGGGGTATTAATCATATATAAAATTACGGTGAAGAAAGAATTTTTTTCTCTATAATTATAGACTTTACATATTATAGAAGAGAAAATTCTGTAGTGCAGTACATTTCAAATAAATATTTCCTTTAACCACACTATCAATTTAATTCGCTCCAAAGATAATAAATTAACAGGATATCCGCAGTACTATGTATAACTCTCAGAACTAGTTCTATCATATTTTCTGTAGTAATTGAAAAAAAAAACGTGTTAGAAATAAATATTTTCGTAATTTTGCTGCGTAATTATTTGACTTGGATAATTATAACACCATTAACGATTTGTCGTCTTTAACAAAACAACAAAATGTTGCAGTGCTTGAAGTATTTGCACATTGCCCTTAGTTAAATTTAATATTTCAGCATAGTTCTACATAGGTACAGAATGTGCTTATAACAACATTTATTTTCCAGAGTAATTTAATAAATAACCTAACAGCTAAGTTAGAATAATAAAAATATATATCGTAGATATTTTTCAACATGAAATGATTCTTCAAACACGATATGTTAGTTATAAAATTAAAAAACCTGTAACTCCTTCCCTACAAAAAGATAAGTCCTTTCACTTCGGAGTTCCGAATGGCAATGAAAACTGAACGATAGGTGAACGCTGAACGCAAGGTGAACGCAAAGTGAACGGAACGAAGAGCGAACGCTGAACGCTTTGTGAACGGTGAACGCGAGCGCACGGTGAATGGTGAACGCAAAACTGTGAACGGAGAGCGAACGGTGAATGCACGGTGAACGAACGGTGAATGCACGCTGAACGAACGGTGAGCGAACGGAAAAATGGGAAAGTAGAACGTTTCAGGGACTGTAATCACAGATGCTTGAAATTTTAGCACACTCTATGTCTAGGCATGCCATATTATGGGATTCATTTTTTTACAAATCTGATGTCAACTTCCTGTTAATCCATCCGTCTGTCCGTACCAAATTTTTGTCGCAGTTTTCTCAGCAACTACTCAATGCAGATGCTTGAAATTGTAGCACACTCTTTGTTTATGCATGCCATATGGTGGGATTCATGAAGGCGTATATTCACAATATAGCGAGGGTATTACTAGTGAGCATTGGCTTACAGACTTGTTTTTTTTGGTTTTTCTATCTGTAATCAATAAAAATTTTGAAAATCAACATTAACAGAGCATCTGATAAAGAAAATTATGAAACACACACATTGAGGACAGAGATGTATGCACTTTGATGACAGACTACTTTTGTGTTTGTTCACTGCGGTATGGCTGATATAAGAGTTGTAGGTAAACAATGATAGCTGCAAAGTATGGCACATGCTATATCTCAGATAGCACAGAAATCATTCATAATGATCACTGCTCAAATAAATTTACAGTGATTAATAAATCAAAATGTATAAGTATCTCCAGTTGTGGTTCACAAACCTCATGACATGGAACATATCAAAACTCAACATGCTGAGTATTTAAAACCTAGTGGCAACTTTGTAGAATTATAAAAGTATTCTCCAGGGAAAATTTAAAAAGTAACATTGTGTTTCCCTTGCAAAAATTTTTATCCCCTCACAAAAGTTTGAGAGAAACCTGGTTTACATGCTCTGCTTTTGCACCTGCTTTGTAGGTCTGCATTGTACTCTGCAAAGAAGACATAGAGTTTACACCTAATCTGCTAATACCATGCCTGCTCTCACCTTATGACCATATGATTTCATATCAGTTTGGTCAGTTACATCTGCTTTGCAGACTGAAAAAATAGCAAATTCTAATTTGTCTGTTTGCATGCATGCAGTGCATAAACCATAGTTTACACACTCTTCTTTTGCAGCATTGCTTTAAAGCAGCTGCAAAAGCAGAATGTGTAAACAGGGCTATAGAGAACTTCTAAGGCTAGTTTGGAAATTCAAGACATCGGAAGTTAATTTGCTTAATTATTATACAGGGAAAAAATTGGACAGGGGTTTCACCTAGAAATCAAGAACTTCAAGAGATCAGAGTTGGAGCTATCAAAAGTCACCTGTATTTTAACTTTGATATTTTGGATCCTTGGATATTCCTAATTTTTAGCTCTTCTTTGCTGAATTTTAACTTTGATATTTTGAATCCTTGGATATTTCTGATTTTTAGCTCTTCTTTGCTGAAGGCTCAGAGAGCTAATGCTATTATTGCCATTTGTGCAGTGTCCATCAACTTTCTGGAATTATAAACCATATCTCAACAGCTGCATGGCCAATTTTTGCTAACTTTGCCAAAGAGTATCCTTGACCCAAGGGCTTCAATTTCATTTATATTAAAAAAGGGATGTGACCCTTAAACAGTAGGTGATAATTAGGGAAATAAAAACAAATGCAGTGGGTTTTTTTTAAAAATTTGTCAAAAAAAAAACTAAACAGATTATTACCAAACTTAGGCACAAGGATGAAGATATGTTGTAGATTGAAAATTATTCAAGGCATCACCCTGGGGTAAAGGGAGTGGCCTCAAGGTCTGTTCAAAGTTCATGTACAATGATGCAGTCAAACGTCGTTATCTTGAACTCGATGGGACCGAGAAAAAACTTCAAGATATCCGAGGATTCGAGATAACAGGGGTAAAATACTTAAGGAATAAGTGGTTAGGACTTCACAATCACTTCGATATATCCATGGTATTCGAGATATCAGTGTTTGAGATATCAAAGTTCAACTGTACTATGTGAAAACTTTGATATTTTCCCACTATAAGGACTAGGATCATCAAATTTTGTCAGTTGATGCATCTTAAGACCTCATGTCATGTTGACTCAGAAGTAGGTCACTACTTTTAGTATTATATAGGTATACATTTTCAAATTGATTTTTATGCATATCTTGGACACTTATAAGCCTATGGTCATCAAAATATGGCAGTTTGTGCAACATGGGGCCATAAAGTATGTCAACTGAAAAGTAGGTCACTTTGATCTTTTGGAATTTCGTGGCTAATCAGATTTTAGGTCTCCTGTTTTTGTCGGTCCCATCAAGTTCAAGATAATGAGGTTTGACTGTGTAAAGGATATTTTAAGCACATTTTTAATTAAGAAATTTTATTTTCAGGTTGCTTATCAAATTTATTGAAGACAAGTCGGAATACTTTTGGAGGGGGATTTTATATGCTGTTTTAATGTTTGTAATGGCAATGATACAGTCATTTGTCTTACATCAGTATTTTCATGGCTGTCAATTACTAGGAATGAGAATCCGTACATCTGTTACTTGTCTTGTATACAGAAAGGTAAGTTTCTATTTTTAACTGGGTTTTCTTTAGAAATGGTGAAAATGGTGGGTGGGAGGGTAGGCAGAAATGTTGCTTATTCTTTCATATACTAGTATCATGAATACAAATTATCCTTAAATTACTTTCTTTACTTTAGGCTGCATATAAGCTCAATGTATTTAGAATTCTTGCTCATGAAGCACATATTCCTTTCTTTTTCTGAACTAATATATGTTATATATCACTTATGTCATCATTATTATGAATACATTTGCTTTATTCAGTGTAGTCTCATTACAAGAATTACTATAGAAACATCAGAACTTCAAGTTTAGAGCTCTTTTTGAAATTTGAAGACGGTTTGTATTAAGTGATTGTATGATTATTGTGAACTAATTTTTAGCTCAGCTTAACGAAGTTGGGGGGAGCTAAAAAAGTGATGGCATTGGCGTTCATGTCATCCCAGGTTTAAATTTTTGGAGCAGATTTCTTTTCCAGTATTCTATGCCATATATTACTAGTAATCAGAGATGCGTAGATGATGCTTCTAGTATGTTTCATTGTACCAGTCAAGGTTTCAGATGCTGCATTTTCAGCTAAAGAATGACCAGGTTAATGTTTATGGAGCAGGTTAAAGTTTTTGGAGCAGGTCTCATTTCCAAATATAAGCCTATATTGACCAAACTTGCGTGGATGATATATATAATGATGCACACTACTGGACTTGCTTCGAATGCTGGATCCAACCTAACATTTTCTGGATGAGTGACCAGGTTAAAGATATTGGAGCAGGTTCATTCTCAAGTAACTCTGAGCCTTATGTTGACCAAACTTGCATGGATGATACATCTATTGACTGACTGATTGATTGTTTGTTGTTAGGTCACCTGAGCCACTCAGGTGACATATGGCTATCCGTTTTTGTCTGTCGTCGTGCGTCGTCTGTTAACTTTTGAACATTTTCAGCTTCTTCTCTAAAACCACTCAACCAATTTCAACCAAAATTGGCATATAGCATCTATGGGTGAAGGGGAACAAAAATTTTGAATTTCATGGCCCCTGGGTCAGGGGTTCAGGACTGGGTTGCTAAAAACACTGGTTAATTTTGCCCACTGGTTAAGTTAGCCAGTGGTTAAATTCTATACCCACAGGCCAACTAACCACTGGTCAAATATCTGTTGCTCAAAATAAAATTAGCCCCTGGTTAGTTAACCATAGGTTAAATGATTTAACCAGTGGTTAGTATCCCACAATTCATTACATTTGTCCACTTGTCAACCCCAAAAAATGGCTACCATGGTTTAATACAATATGAGTAAAAAGTGAGAAGTTATTATGTTACAGCTGTATTGAAAAAGTGGAGAAATACCCATATATGTAACAGTTATCAACACTAAAAAAACGGTTTAAGTCACAAAAAAGTCATGAAAGCACAGGTTTGGCTAAAATTAAAATACTAGTATGCTGTAAATTCAAGTGGAGGATCAAGAAGAACATAGAGTGTTATTAATAGGAAAATTAGCACCACAGCCAAGGTGGATAGTAGGCCGTGTAAAGACTGATGATGGAACACCATAGCCCTCATTAAATCTAGTGTCAAAGAAAATGCATACTGACTCGCCATATCTCTTCGGAATTATTCCTATTCAATACTTGGCTATACTTACAAGGTAAGTACATCAATTTGCATCGTCTCATGCTTAAATAATAACTGAACAATTTTACCTGTTATCACTATGTAAACGTCGTCTGCTATGCATCCGAGGAAATTCACACTGGTTGCATTCTCGCGTTAAATGCCTTGCCAGAAGGAACTCATTTCAATGTTTTAAGTCAAATACTTACAAAGAAAAAAAACTTTCATCACATTTATATCTGTCTTTGTAACACTGATGGTTGGTAGTCACTACTATTTGCACTTTTGTAAATAACAGAAAGGTCCTGGTCAAATATATAGATAAAGTGAGTTCGTCACTAAGGCATTTCGCTCCGTATCAATACCCTGTGTAACTACAATGCATGAATGCATTATCCAACGTTTATTACATAAATACCACACCTTTCAATAAGCATTAATATTTAGAGAAAATAAAGGACTATATATAGGTATCTAAAGATATCAAATGTGCAAATCATTTTCTATAATTATTTTTTATTTATTTATAATCATAGAGGGACCTAGTCAAAAAGAATGTAAAATCAAAGGAATTATAGTACATTCTTTATTTAATGCAGAAGGCAAGAAGCATTGCTTAACAAAATGGGGCCTATGAAAAAATAATTGTGTAGCGAATGATAATTAATATTGTTTTAAAAAAAATGGTTAAATAAAAAAAAACAAGACATTTGAAGAGAGGGAGGCGGGGGGCAATAATGTATTTTAATAATTTATGTTTGTTTACCAAACTAATATATCAATTTACTTGTATCCGTTATTAAGCCCATATACAAATGACAAACAATTTTATTAATTTTTACATACATATATATATTCATATTTATCATCATTTTTTTTCTATCATCAGGGAATTGCCTTTTGATGACATCCTTTGCAACACCAACAATTTTAGCCTTGAAAGAACCCATTCGAAACACCTGCTGATGCTGAAGACATGAAATCCTATCATATCTTTGATAGTGTTGTAACCCCTCTTCCATATTGTTGCAAAGCCATTTCTACTTGACTTATAAATGACTGTGTCTTTGTTATAGTACTCATTAACATTAAATTCATGATTACAATGCATATAAACCTTTGTTTCTTTTGTTATCCTCCAAAATTTACTAAAAACAATAACAAGGTAGCCATGATTATCCACTGGATAAGAGACTTAACCCACCTCTGTGGACTGGCTAACTTTGGCCAATATTTAACCACTGGATAGCAAAGTTAACCAGTGGATAAATTTTGAGCAACAGAATTTAACCAATGGTTAAAAGTTAACCGCTGGATAAGAGATTTAACCGGCGGTTAGCGCTGACCAAGGTTTTGAGCAACCCAGTCCTGGTGTCAGGGTGGGGCTCAATTGATATATATAGTGAAAATGCAGTATTTCTTTGAAAGTCGTCTCTCTCCTGGATATTAAATAAACTAAGTACATAGTTATGATGAGCATGGCTGCCTCCTCAGAAATCGTGAATTTCGTGGCCCCTGGATGAAGGGTTATGGTGTTAGGTCGGGGCTCTATTGATAATGTAAGGAAAATGCATAAATTCTTTCGAAATATTCTTCTCTGCTCCTTGGTATTGTTCAAACAAAGGAAGTGCATGGTTGTGATAAGGAAGAATGTCTCTTCCAAAATTGTGAAATTCATGACCTCTGGGTCAGGGGTTCTTTCGAGGGGGGGGGGGGGCTCTTGATTTTATAGTGAAAATGCATAATTTCTTTCAAAATATTTTTTCTACTACTGGTAATAAAGCAAAGAAACAAGTGTATAGTTATGATGAGCAAAGTGCTTCTTCCAGAATTATTAGTTCATGGCCCCTGGGTAGGTTGTTCTGGTGTAAAGGGGGAGGGGGGCTTTATTTATTTAATAACATAGTGAACATGCATTTCTTTGAAAATCTTCTATTCTTCTGGGCATATTCGAGGCAAACAGAGTAAAAGTTTTAATATGCAAGGGTATTTTTACCAGAATTTTGAACACCTGGATTATTTAGTCAAGTATTATGGTCCTGGCCAGGGCTCTATGAACTTGTATTCTGCTGAGCAAAGTTATTCCCCTTTGCCATTCACCTTTGATAATTAATCACTGTAAATAATGTATTTGATAGGTTAATGGAATAAGAGAATTATGCAAGAATATTTATTGTATAATACAAAAAGTACTTTCATAGTTTTAATGATCAGGTAGACTTGGAAATAATAGATGAATAAAAGTGAGTCAAAAATGACTTATCTTTTTTAATGTTCTTCAAAGGCCAAGAGAGACCAATGTAAGAAGTTATAATATGGGGTTCAAAATAGACATTTTGTTAATAGTCTGCATGGTAATAGTGATAAATGGGGGACAGATAGATTCTATACCAATTATTTTGTTGATGCTTATCATACTATTTTTCTTGCTTTTGGGCAACAAAGCTTCATTTATCAGTTTATGGTTCCTCTAAATTATTGTATTGTACTCAGGTGACCATTAAGGCCCTTGGGCCTCTTGTTTTACATCCGATTCAAGGATTTTTCACTCATATAGAGACGCCACCATATAGGGCTTCAAATTTAGACCTTTACTTGGCACTCAGGGCCATTGAGCAGTGAGAGATCTTTATCGTGCCAATGCCTGCCGTGACATGGGGCCTCGGTTTTTAGGTCTCATCCAAAGGACCCACAACTTTCACTTCAAAATGCCAAGCGTTTTGCAAAGGGACAGTTGCTATCTATTTTTTATTGACTTAGGTGAGTTGCGAACCCACAACATTCCGATCATACATCTATTGATGCACACTGCAAGGCTTGCTTCAGATGCTGGATCTGTCCTACATTTTTTGGATGAGTGACCAGGTTTAAGTTTGTGGAGCAGGTTCATTCTAATGTAACTGTAAATAATCCCAAACTTGCATGGATGATACATCTAAGGATGCACACTACTAGGCTTGCTTCAGATGCTTCACAAACTTAAACCTGGATCTGACTTACATTTTCTGGATGAGTGACCAGGTTAAAGTTTTTGGAGCAGGTTTATTCTAAAGTAACTATAAGGCCTATACTGTAGATTCCTTATTTTACACAAGTAGTTAATATTGCGAAATGGCCCAAGGGCGTCAAATCACGAGAATAATAATTCACGAATGGGTGATTTATCTAGAGATTTTACATACATTAAAGAACCATAAAAATAAAAGCGAGTAATTTTATTTTGTGAGCAGTGCTTCTCGCGTAATTACGCGATAATTTATTCCTTGCGTATATTTAGGAATTTACAGTATTGATCAAACTTGCATGGATGCACACTACTGGACTTGCTCTGGATGCTGGATTTGACCTACATTTTCCAGATGAGTGACCAGGTGAAAGTTTT